ATTTTTGGTAAAAATGCAACATTCAATATGTTTGCTCAAAAACTTATCAAGTCAATAATTTCACAATTCATTTGCATATACAGAGAATATTCTCAGACAGTTTCGACCCATTCACATAACAGCTTTGATGGAGAAGGCCTGAGATAATGTTCAGCTTAAGTATCAGTTAAAATACAATGGTGATCATTGAGCTATCAATAGCTACTTGAAACTGTTCAACATGGGATTTTCTCCACTCCATCATGAACTTAACCAAGGCTATCATCTTGAGTTGAGTGAGAAATCAGAAACATTATCTGAATGAAGTCCATCCATGTGATACAATTTTGTGGTGTTAGGCTGACTCAATATTTCGATAGAGTCCTACGAATCAAACTAGTAATCGGCTCTATATGTTGAAGGGTGTGGCTCCGAATAAATAACATGACGCATTACTCGCAAGTATGAGTTGCTGTATAAACAAGTAGGCAGAAATCAAATCTCAACCATACTGGCTACAACCAACCAGCGCTTCAATTTTATTTCACAATCTTAACAGGTAAATGCAGTCTGACAACGAAGTTTGTTAAGATACACAAAATTTATACGACTCACTTCAAGAATAGCCTTATGAAGTATATCTCCTATATAAAAATTACTTGATTCAGACATGTTTGTAAAGTTAGCTGATCCTGGACAAAAAGCCTCTCTCATTCCCATTTTCTGTAGATAGTCTACAAGGCTTATAGCACTGCCTTCCTTCAGTTTGAACTTCGGTAAGTACAAGTGTATACTGGTATCCATAAAGTTAGAAGAAAGAATTGATGAAATTCCTTTGTCTTTACACAATGATTTCAGTAAATCAGGTAATCCGTCATTTGTGTTTGGAAGAACGACCAATAATGAGAATCTATAACAAGAATAGGTTGAAAACAAGATAATACAAGATAGAATATTAGGGCAAAATGAACAATCATCCAATATCTACATATTTAGAAACTGATGTGCTGAAAATTTAATGCCGACCAGACAAATAAAACATAGATGGCATTATATTTTCGGCATGGTTTTTGAATCAGTGAACATATCTTTTGTGGGTTTACTTTGTGGTGTTAATGAATCCTCATTTTCAGTCTCGTCGGCTTTTTGGATAGATATATAATCAATCATGTTCCACTGTAATAAGTAGCAATTTTTCCGCTATCATAACAAATTTTATCAAGTCGTTACACAGCTGTCTTCAACTTTTGCATAACATATTGTAAGTCTTTTCAAACCGTATAAGATATGTATGTCTGTTGTTTGCTGTAATGACACATTAATAGTTCAATCTAAATTATTGTCGCGATGATTTCAACTAGAATGTTAGAAAGTAAACATTTACAGCTATTTACATAATGACGTGAAGTAACTAAAACTGTACACCGTTGTCTTTCTAGTACCATAGATATTTACACATAAAAGTGAATAATTTTAGTATTCGACATTTTAGCAAAAAGATCAAAGTCACTTCGCAAACAAATTTTAACTCCCTTAACCAAGACTAATCGACCTCTTTAGGTTTCTATAATATATAACTTTTGGCCTCCTTTTCAATAGTGTGGATCATTCTACAAAGCTAAAGTTTGATTGATTCATTAAGCGATGTAGAAAATTCTCCAGTCCGCGGATTATTTTCCTACGACTTCTGAAGTGCAATATTTATATGACACTAATTGATAACATGTTCCTCAAATATTTTACTTAAAAGTATCCAGCAGATTGTTGTCAAGAAAACCAGATGATATCTGTTAAGAGGAAATATTATATTCTGTCACTTTTAAAGATTAATGAAAGCAAGACTGCAAAGCTGACTATAGAGAGGATGGAAAGAATCTCATGTTAGCGGTGAGGTTTCAAGAAATGGCATAGATGATTGCTTTCACTATTGATAGTCACTGGTTTTAGTACTATACAATCGTCTATAATGAGGCTAAGGAATTGTTTGATGAAAACAAGTACATAAATCGTGTTGCTTAGTTCTTCATTTTCTCCATAGTTTTTCATCTGGTTTTAAATAAAAAGGATCCGTGGACACACATCAAAAGGACATTTCACGAAAACCCTAACATGTAATTGTTCAAAATATTGAGTAACAGCGAACATAAAAACCAGGTAAAAATTATAGGCGTCCAAGTGTCTCGATGACCTCTAGGTTTGGCTAGAGCCAGTTGATTGTGTTCACGGCTTAATTATAACCAGTTATCTGATTTCGCACAAAATTTATATCATGTTAGTATCGGTCAGTTTTAACTGGAAGATCTACTTAAGAATTACTTCGTAAATATACAGAGTTTCGATAAATGTTAGTTATTCTATCATCTTTGCTAGTTGTGTATACACCTAGTAATCCACTTTACATTTTGAGACGTCGTTGCTTCTTAAATTGAAATGATTACTTTGTTTGATTGGGATACTATTCACCTATTAGATCTTGTAAATAAATCTTATGTTTCCTGATAGTATTTTTAAGATTTTAATAATTGATTGTCAAAATTTTTATGTGCAAGCAAAACCATATGGGAGCAGGCTCGAATTTTACAATTTATGTAACCATTGTGCATTATTAGAATTTTCGGCATGCAAAGATTGAATATATCGATATAAAGATTAACTTAGAGATAGATTTTAGGCATCATTACCAAGGTTTGACTTGATAATTTCGAATAAATTTAGCATCGGGTAGACTGCTATAAATAAATAATATATTTTTAATATCCCAATGAGTGGAAAAATTAGATTTGCTGGAGTTTCGTGACTCAGTGTAAGCCAATTCTTCAGAGAACAAATAACCAAATTAAAAATAATCCAAATTTAAATAGTACACAGGAAAAACACAAGAACATTTATTGAAATTTAATCGTACATAAAACGTATACAGCAGCGTTTTATAAATTCAAAGAGGGATTACGCCTAGCCAAATGAGACAAAGCCTATTTACTTTGAGGGTACATTATTGAAGTTTCCCAGCTAAATAGTTGATCACAACGACAAAGCCCATAACTCCCAGATGACGAAAATTAACGGTCCGTGAAATGATGTGGATTATCTGGACTCAGTAGCTAACTGGATGATGGGGTGGTGCTTGAAATATACGGTGCTGAGCTCGGCCCCCATAACGAACATCAGGTTCAAAATGTAGGTAGATTTAGACGATATAGTCTGAAACAAGGCGATCATTGCGTCCTGTACTTCACTGCCAGCCACAACCCATCTATTCTACATTAAGTCAGAGACTTTAAATATCGATATTATTTACTAGAGATTTTTCTACTCCATTTGCAGTTTAGACAAAATTACGATTGAATTAAATTATACGTTGAAGTAAACTATTTAGTTGAAAATTACTAAGCATTTGTAATAGTTGTCAAACGTTTTCGAATTTTCGATCATGAGGACTATGAAACTTCTCAGCATCTTTGTCTTACAGATCTAATGGCTGCATAAGCTCACTTACAGTGATTTGGAAAGAAGCATATCTTCTTGAGTAGTAAAATCTCATAATTCAGTACTTGAAAGAATAGCATGAGGATTCTCGTGAACAAACCTAAAACTTTGTTCACTAAAATAAAATAAAAATAAGTATTTTAAAAAGGTTTCAAAATACTTGCACTTACTTAGGACTCTTGAAAGGTATCTTGATAGCTCGTGACTTCAAATGTGGCAGGCTGACCATGCCGAATGAGGAATTAATATACATAAACCTTACGTCTATTTTTGACCTGTCTAGACGAAAAAACTTATCAACGTGAGAGTTGCGCACAGGAAAAGCCGATTTCCATAAACCTAGAAAGCAAAACTGGTTATAAAATTGTTAACAAACATGAAAATTATCATCGCCAAATAAAATGAAAGATTTACGACTTTAAAGACATTTATAGGTAGTGTAAGCCAAACAGATAGATTCACCTTTGAAATATGTAGTAGCTAACACTACAACCCGTGTGTCTTCTTTTAGGGACCCAGGTGAGAGGAGTTGTTGGATCTTTCCGTTGGTTTGTTCACTAACCCACTTGTTTATTCGTTTACGAGCACATTCTATGTCCGTCTGAAATGTCATCTACACAGATAATTAATGATTCAAAATAAAGACCCACATGTTCTATCAATGCATTATAGTAAGTCTTCAAATGAATTTCGAATTGCTGCTTGATACTAACATCACGTTCAACAAAAAGTCCACTGCTAAGGATAATGTTAACACCACCACGTTTTGAACAGTTATTGAGAAGTTCACTTATTCCGCTGTGAACTTTATCATGTTCTAAGCGTTCAGATAATTGCATTGTTTTCATTATCTCAGCTTTTGTGTTCAATGCACTGCCAGACAGAACCATTCCGAGGGTAGTATAGATATTGAAAGGAGAGAGGAAAGTATTCTCCAGTTTGTCTAAGCATACTAACCAGTGTACTATGGAAGACTATCTTACTCTTGTTTTCTTCCAATAACTTCCCATAAAACTTTTCGCTGAAGTTCATAAGCGATAATTGTACATCCATCTTGTTTGAAGTTGCAGTCTGTCAAGACAACTAGAATTAATTATCTGTGTGACAAGAATATCTAAAACTATATACAAATAGATCGCTCTTTAAAATACTGTGTTGAAACTCATTATTATAATAACAAGTTATTGTCATGTAAGAAAAAGGTACGCTGTTAATGAACTAATTAGGATACACGCAAAACCTACATTGTATTAATAGTGCCCCCGAATACGGTCGAGGGTGGGAGAGTCATCTCTACATCTCGAAATGCTTTCACATAATAACGCGTAAACAGCCACTGACAGGGAAGTCCTACTCACTGCCTTCTCGTGGTGGGGGTGTTGTCTCAAACGTGAAAGGACCAAAGGAGAATGTCCGGCACCTTAACCGAGTAGGTAGATATGGAGGATTCACCCAGGGAAAGTTGGTAAACCCTGATTCCAAACTAACCGTGCAAACGGGCTTTAGAATCCTGAGGGGACAAATGGTGTATGAACCAATTATTGGTTAGCGGCTATTATGAAACTGAATCTCCTGACTTTGCCCCACTGTTTTGTGGATGACACCTTTAGATCAAAGGCTTTGAGAGTGGTCCCATTCACTCGCAGTTTGTTCTTCAAAGAGAATGGCGGCAAGATTATGATTTGTGGATGAACCAACTAGATCTAGGATAACAAAACTTGGATTTTGACGCAAAATTCATTCATCCACATGATTAGATAGCATTTGAGCATTATAAATGACGTCAGTTCATGATAAAAACCACAACCTTAAATATCTGCAATACAATGTTTAAAGATTAATTATACCGTTTGAATGGTGTAGCGGAAAAACTATATTTTGCCAAGGACTCTAAGAAAATTTAGAAAAGCCTTGAGATTAATCAACCAAGGACAGACAAAATGCGGCTTTTTGAGAGCTCTAAGACACATAAAAACGGCAAAAACCGGTTATTAGTCTTGAAATCATTGTTAGCACCAACTGCAGAAAATTTTGGATTTGAATTACAGTGCTGCATTTTAACTAGACCATAATTCCTAGCCCAAGACTCAATACTTCCAAAACACGGAATTCAATAGAAGTCACGAGTTTCAGCAACATACTAACCACAATCGTATCTTAAATCCATACATCCTCTAGCTTAATTTTGGTTATTCGCTCGAGGCTGTAAATGTGGTGTGATTACATCATATTTGCTTCTATTATTTTATCCCAATATTGAGGATTGCTGAGAACAAACGGATCATACTAACGTTTGTACTTAAAGTTAATTATCCCTAAGTTTACGATCGTATAATTCGAAGTCCGTTTTCGTTAACAGGACAAAGATAATGGAGTCTTTTGAATCTATGAATACAGTTGTATCAAAATATAGATCACTGTTGTTCAAACGAATTAAATACTATCCAACTAAACATGGTGGTCATGAGCTCGAAGATCTTGACGATCACAGTGAAAACGCCTAACAAATTCCAATCCTCCCGCTCTCTTGATACTTAATCCAATATCAATATGTAGTGAGCCAGTTGTTCGTACTCCTCCATGGATGAATGGATGAATATGCTATAAATATAAATCTTTCGATTATCTCCGTGCATTATGTAGGCTAACCTCGTTTGTTTGACGGTGATAATAAGAAGCCAAATGTGGATGATGTTGGAGTAATTTATTTTAAGCATTCCTTTGTCTAGACAGAGACTCATAATAGGGAGCAGAAACGCGAAGCGGATCGACGAAGGCTAGTGAAACAACTCAATCTGATCAAACGTCACTCAATTTTTATGGTCGGACCAAAAATAAGTTGTAATGAGTAGGACAAGCAATCAGCACACATACGATCATATAAAATCAGTCGGGGTTAATATGCCAGTAAGTGACAAGGTTAAAATGTGGATTGAGAGGAATGAATAGGTTGATCTGTCTCAAAACCAGAATAGCCGTTGAGTGTAGCAGTGTATTTGTGAGCGATAATCTGTGTGTCATTTTATATTTGTTCACAAACCGGAATGGAAGGTCAAAGGTCAATTCGCTATTTTCTAAGCAACAATTCTGCAATTATTGATGGTAATTGTAAAGATTGTGAGAACTGATGAAAAATGCAAGCAACAACAACAGCTGATTACAAAACAGGTCTGTTTTAACTATTCCCACAAATATCGTAGCAATAGGCTCGTACAAACCAATTGATTTTTTCGCTCGTTTATTATTGTTTCAGTACGGTTCCAGGTATTTGGCTATGTCCAACTGATGTTAGTCTAGCCAATCAACGACGGTAGTTTCAGCTAGTTTGGTGGTTATTTGTGATTATGTGTAACTTGCAGTCAGTCTTCAGTAATAAGGATAGGTTTTTTTGGCTAACGTCATTTTTAGCAAGGTCGTATTTACGGGATGAAGTTGACGACCTCATGCCAAACCCTCCTCTTTTACACGGGCTTAGGACTAACGGAACCCTATAAAAGCCGCAGTTGGAGGGAAGAAGACCATGCAAGAAATCGCGCTGTGAATCGGAGGCAAACATCAAAAAGTCTAGGAACATTTGCCAACGATTGCCCAGGACAGAGTTCTTTGGGGACTTCTGGTGAGCGACCCACGCTCTACAAGGTGTAACAGGCTTCGGTAAGTTCTATCCTCTAGTGTAGCCTGTTTGTTTCAGGGAAACTTTAGATCCAAATTAAGGTTTAGACTGAAGAATAGCTGTCTAGTTGGGTTAGATACTCGCACTTGCCCGGTTGAAATCAAAACAAAGTAATTGGGTAAATTGACGATCTTAGTATTTGTTCATATTTAGCCTGTCTGTCGATGAGCATGAATAACAACGTACGTCACAGACAATACTAATAATGTTTCCCTTTATTTCTAGGATGAGCTCAACAATTCATTGAATGAATTCCATGGGATATAAAAAGTACAGTCTTATGTTTTTTTAGATTAATCACAATCATTATGTCCATCATGGTAGTCGTGTAATTTTGACTATGTATTTTCCAACTTTTAACCCTTTTCTACATGTCATATTGCAACTCTAATCATATATCATGAAATCATAGAGGGTATTACATGGTCAACATTTAGTAGGCCCCAGATGGTTTGATAACAAACGAATTGAAGGTTGTAATCTGAGAGTAGAAAAAATTGTTAAGTCAACAGTATTGCGAATGTCATCATCGAAAGGAGTAATCTGGTGTATCTAGAGATTAACTCCTTTCTATTTGACTCCAATATATGTTCCGTTAACTGAGTATTTCAGCAGGCTAATTTTCCTAGAGAGACAATTTATTTGTCTGAAAATATTCGAAACCCAGAATATGAAATCCCAGGAGTGTTTTTTATCTACCACACTAAGTACATAAGCGATTTATCCCTAAACGATACACGGATAAATATATGTGGAAAACACTATACTGGCACGAGTAACTCATGAAGGAACAAAGATACTTCGACTAAAGTGAGTGGTAAGAGCAGTAATCAATCACTTTTTATATTCTTTTCTTAATAGAAGACAATGCGAAAGTTGGATGGTAACATGTAACAAAATCCCTATGGATGATTATTATAAATACATGCAATCAACCCTCACAATAACGACTAATTCCAAAATCAATGTAGGAGAGTTTCACTGCTTCACTAAATGATCCATAGGGCTTTCAATAATTTATAACATGCAGCATCTTACACTCAATTGGATTATTCATATATATATATATATATATATATATAATCTTTAAAACATCACTCACACACCCACTTGTTGTGTAAGACATATTTACTGGTTTTGTAAGACAAACTACTATGGACGAATGGTTCTTAGATGAAGCATTTTAGATCAATCAATCACTCAATACTTGTTGGTGGTTCTGATTGTTATTTTTACGTGCATATAAACGTTGTGCACTAGGTTAACGAAAATTTCTGCGACACGACTTGTAATGTAATCAGCATCTCAGACTATTTAGCTTTATTCAAAGGTCTTTTTGATTTTTATTTGCTGACATTTCCGAAACAGTAAGCGAGATCGTATCTTAAACGATCGAAATTGTTCGGCATCTCAATCAACATAACCTGGTTTCCCCCATAGCTAACGTCAAATCATAGCGATAAGTAACTATTTATAATGGTCTCTCGACATCGTCATAAGCCTTTGTTACGATATAACAGTCACGTAATATGGTCGATGTAAACAATGAAACCAAGAACTGTAGGAGCCAATGATCCGATTGATGACTACTTCCACAAATAGTATTGTTTCCCAACGATCATCTTTATCCTTAATCGATGGTTATTATTTTGGTATCAGTTGGCCCCTTGTTATGGGCAATGGAACAATATAAGTTTGACCAGAGGTTTGATGACAGTCATTTGCGCATATCTTCGACGTCAGCAGTCGAGCGAATCTCCTGCAAACTGTGAGTATCATTGTCAACTTTATACAAACACCGACTAAACGTTCGTACTATTATTATGGAAATGGGTTGAGAGTTATGAACTCCTTGCCGATGACCTGTGTGGTCTCTGATAACCACATGACTGACACCTGCTTTATGGACCTATAGATAATCAATTAACTGAAGATTTCGAACATTACATCATATTTAATATTATTTCATGAGCTATGATGATTTCACGTACTTAATTTCAAATGGACTGAATTACAGCTTCTGTTTGACCTAAGGCGTATAACTAGCCTATATTCACGGCTATTCCCAACTAACCATCTATTAGCACCAATACAGGTAGCTCGTCCTCTAGGTAATCAGCATCACCCTCGCTGCTATAAACCTGTTGAAACAAACGTTATCAGTCGTCAGTACGAAATTCTGGAAGTCATCATTAGAGCCATGTGACGAACCCCTGTTTTACATTTATAACAGTCCACATATTTTAGTGCATAACTAAAATTTGCAACGCATGTGGGCAGAAGACACTTATTCTCTTCATAATTTAAGCGGTTAACCGCCGACTAACGCTACGCGTTCCAGTGTGACCTATCAGGACACCTTGGTATAATAGCCCATTCT